GTGCATGTTGTCATTTGTTGGGCTCTCTTTGCATCATCTACAGCCTGCGTTAACTAAATGCCAAATCAGATTAGAAATAATGTTGGTTGTTTAAGGAAATTAGGGGTAAAAAAAGATGTTGTTGACCATTATGCTCAGACCTTGAGTCCACAACTGATGCTTTTTACAGATCAGTAGAAACTGGGAATGCATAATTTGCTCCATTTGGGTTTGATGTCTTCACTAAGGCTTGTTAGGGTTTCTTAGGTAAAGTTCTACTGAAGATCCTACAATAACCACCAGGAATATAGAAAATAGAATATATAAATATGGATGCCTAAAAAGGTTATAGACCATATATGAACCTCTTTTGGTTCCCTAAAGAACTTTTTAATGGATAGGTCGTTAGAAAATAGCTCTGTAAATGAGATGTGAGAATGAAATACCTCCACATAATGTAAGAATTATATTCAAATTCCGACCAGTATGTCCAGGCCAAGAACCATTTGGGAACCTTTATACTTCCATATTTCTTTTTTGTAATACCCTTAATTATACCCATTAAATGGCCAGGGCCCACCGGTGGGCCCTAAGTTTCATCACACACTTTTATAACCTAAGAATAGCTCAGCCAGTTTGCACTGAAGTCCCTGTAGTTACTAAATAATAAGCCTTCGTCTGTAATAAGCCTGGATTTTAAAAAAGGCTCTAAACAGTTGCAAATATATGTGCTAAATGGAACCATTTTTAAAAGGGGTCTTTATAGGACCCATATCTTGCATTTTCTTGCACTTGATTGTTCTGTCTGAGGTTCAGTTAAAGCATTTGTGAGGTTTTATGCACCAAAAACAATCATAATTCAGTTATACAGGACTAATTTCCAACCTCTCTTTATCCCTTAAAATAAAAAAGGCTGATTTTGTTGCTGTGCTATTAAGACTGGCACTATATGCAAGTGATGTCTGTTCTGATTGGCTGCCCTGTATTGCACCTCATTCGAAAAGCAGTCCAAGCTGAAACACTCTACATAACTTAAGCATGAATGGGCAGAGCTAAATTACTATAGGCTGAATGAAAAGATGTAGGCAAATGAAATGTGATGGTTTATGTGACGTCACAAAAACAGCCCATATATGGACTGTATGAACTGCACAGTGTTAAACTGCAGCAATTCATTTTCCATTATACAGGACCATAAGATCCACATATAACAGGCTTTTCATTACAGAGAAGGAGCATTTAAATAAGCAAAGAACCAGTTATGGATTTAAATGGTTCTTTGAGTGTTCATCGTTCTGTATAAAACCAATGCCTTTATTAGAAAAAACATTTGAATAACCAATTTTGAAGGTGTAAAGGATATATAAAGAAGATATTATCATTTTTTGGCCCAGTAATTTATGCATCTACTACAAATGATGAGGGAGCAACCAGTAGCGCATAATGAGCACCGAATCTGAACACTTAACTACTCTTTTTAGTGAACAAACCACAATGAATGGCCTTGTTTAATGCAGCCATAAATCACAGATGATTAAATCAAGGTCGATAGTGCTCATCTGGTCTTACTGTCCCTACAAAAATATTTGGCTAGAACATAGGTTCCCCTGTGACCCATTCTTGATCCCCCCCCCCCTTCTCTCTCTCTACGCAGACACAGCTTTGATAAACCTGTTTTGATAGCCAGTGTCTATTTGTGAGGGGATCTTGATATGTGCCATTCAAATGTGTTCTCGTCCAGGTCCTTTCCTCTTGTGGCCATCTATCATAACAAGTAGCACAAGTGCCTTTTCACCGCTCCCTTCCGCTGTTGCTTATGCAAATGGCATTTGCATGAAAACTCATTGCCTTGTGGGCCCTTCCTGTCCCACGGAACACTTGGCAGTTTATGAGGCTACGGTCACCGAGGCTACAGATTGGACTGGGGCTTCGGCTTCAGCACTGTGAGCCAGTTTTTGCAGCTCCTGCTGGAAATTAATCCCACATGTCCGCTTCACCATCTCAGCCGAGCACAACACATGTCCTTATATCATTATTAGGATGCATTTGGATGATGATGACAAGTTTGGCTTATGTTGGAGAAAAGGACAACGAATCTGCTACGTTAAGCACATGTGAATACAACACATATAGACATAACGTATAGCAATTATGTATAGAAAGAAAAACAGAATTTTGTAGGTGTTTGCCAGCTTGCTGAGTTAAATTTCCAAGGCAGATGTTAGAGATGGCTTGTCAGTATTGATGGGTATCAGTATCTGTCATAAATCAGCAGAAAAGAGGGAAAAAAATGAACCCAGTCGATAGCACATACTCACATGTTAGCTGTTGCTGTTAGCTGTGCATTTCTACCTGTGAGGTAGTCGAATGATTAAGTAGTTTTAGGATGATAGTTGCATTTGAGTATTCATCTTAAGTGAAATGCTTCAGTGAAATTAATTCAATTTTAAATCTTTTTAAAGTAGTTTTTAGATATTAAACACCTTGTGGGCCTGGCTTGTAAATCACTCAGTCACTGACCCACTCACTTACTCAAACACTATTTCACTCACTCACTCACGTTTGGCAGGCTGAAAAATTCCCCACTAGGGGGCATCATTAACAGTCAAACTGATAAAACAAATGAATGTTTCTGATGATTCGTTAGAGCAGTGTTTTGCATGAGTGACACTGCGTATCAACAAATTGGTATTGGCTGATACTCAAGCTTTCAATATTGGTATCGTTCCATCCAAATACACAAGGCAAAATAAATGTAAATGCATACTAATATATAATTGTAATTTTTAAAAGTGAAATAACTTTGGACTATGGTCCAAACATATATTATATAGTATGTAATATTGAAATATAATGTAAGGAGCAGCTGGCATTTTAAAATAATTATTCATTAAAAAATAAAAAATAACCAACAAAAATGGATAGATACAACGTTTTATACCAACGGTGATTATATAAAAAAGTCTGTTTAATACAATTTTGGAAATAAAGAGGTTGGAAAAGGTTACCAGCTGATGTATAACACTGATATTTCTTGTATGTGTAAAGCTCACTCCAGTGTACACCAACTGACCGCTTCAGTAAGTACACCACCTCTACACTCTTGTCCATTTTATCAGCTCCACTTACCATATAGGTGCACTTTGTAGTTCTACAATTACAGACTGTAGTCCATCTGTTTCTCTGCATACTTTGTTAGCCCCACTTTATTCTGTTTTTCAATGGTCAGGAATCCCCACAGGACCACCACAGAGCAGGTAATATTTGGGTGGTCAATCATTCTCAGCACTGCAGTGACAATGATGTGGTGGTGGTGTGTTAGTGTGTGTTGCCCTAGTACGAATGGATCAGACACAGCAGTGCTGCTGGAGTTTTTAAACAGTGTGTCCACTCACTGTCCACTGTCCTATCTTGTTGGTTTACCTTATAAATGTAAAGTCAAAGATGATAGCTGATAGCTGCACAGTTTGTGTAGGTCATCCAATGACCAACACAATGACCAATGACTAAAGCCTAAATGTAATGCCATCACATTTACATTAATCTGTCAGTGTAGGCTGAAGGTGCTCATGCAATGCATGAAAAGTGATTAAAAACGACTCTGCAAAATAACATAGTCAAATGTAATATGATGATAATGGCACAGGGCGTAACATTAGAAGATAAGATAATGCTGCAAAGTCTAGACAGATATGTGCCTGTAAAAACAAGCTTTAGCGAGTTCAGAAAAGTCTGACGTCAGTGGAGCACTGACTGTATCAAAGTGAGGTGATATATATGGAAGATTTTACAGTTAAGAAGCAAACTGGCCAAAAATTAAGCCCCTTTCTCTCTCTCTCTCTCTCTCTCTCTCTCTCTCTGGCATGTCTGCCTGTGAGTCAGAATACTTAATCTCTGAAGTGATACAGTGGAGTATGTGTGTGCATGCATGGGTGCGTGTGTGTAGGCTATGTGAAAACTTAAACTTAACAGAGGGAGTGAAAATATCTCAGAAATGTGCCTGGTTTGAAATATGATCAATTCACATTAATATATATATATATAAATATATCATAGTCTTAAAAGTGGCAACTGATTAAAATGGATTTTTAAATAAAAACAAAATAAATAAATAAATCTGCTAAAAGTAGTTTCAAAGTAGATGTCATGATGACATACTGCTTAGTTTGTAACACTATGAATAAAATGATGTGATTAATTTGAATAATTTCAGACAGACAGCCCTAAGTGAGCGCTAATATTCAGTGGGTAGGCAGCAAGAGTGTGGTAGACTTGGAAGGCTTCATATAGAACACTGCCATATTGTGGCGTAGGTTAAAATCACAGGTGAGTATTGCAGTGTAGTATCACAGGTTAGCATTCTGAGGTAGTGTTGCAGGGTAGCATGGTGGCATTGGCCAGTATTGCACAGTAATTAAGTGTGGCATTGTATTACAGTGTAGTATTGTCTGGTGCTGCATTAACAAAACAAAAACAAAATTGGAATAACTGTGTAATCAAAATATTCCAAAATATTCCAAAATCTCTCGTCCCACTGCTCATGCACATGCTGAAGAACATCAACCTAAATCTAATATATACATTTCTTGAATAAGGAGATATATATATATATATACATACACGGTGGTGCTGTGTTCAGAATGGCCTGGGTTCGATTCCTGGCCGGGCGACCAGAGTCATTTCTGTGTGGAGTTTGCATGTTCTCCCCATGTCTGCGTGGGTTTCCTCTGGGTACTCCGGTTTCCTCCCACAGTCCAAAAACATGCAGTCAGGCCAATTGGACACGCTAAATTGCCCCTAGGTGTGAGTGTATGTGTGTGAAAGTGGTTTAGATGATGTATGTATATATATATATATATATATATATATATATATATATAAGCGCGTTAAGTGAATGGAATATTCAAAATTCATGTGCAAATACTCGTAAATAAAACCACTAGTAGTACCGCGGTGTAAAATGCTGAGGCAGTATCATATCGTTAAATCGTGGCGTAGTATCGCTGCGGGTGGCGGAGCGACCAGGGGGAGGATACATTCAGCAACGGCCGAGCGAGCTGAGCTGAGCTGCTCGTATTTTTCCTACATGAAACAAATCCGAGGCGGTTAAAGACGCTGCGAACGTTGCTGTCGAAGTGCTTCGTCGCTCTTCTGTTATCGTGCCCTTCGGCGAACGTCCAAGACTTACAGCGCGGTCCGGACTCCCGGTTCGGTTTTGGGGCAGCGACAAGAACGGAAAATAAGCGAAAGGTGTTTGTGCTGTTTGTGTTGGCTGTTGCCTGGCGGTGCGAGGCGGACTCGGTGCAGCATGAAAGCCCGCTGGCCCTGCTCACTTCGTAGGTAAGCGCGCTCGCTTCTGCCACGGCTGCTTTAGCATTCAGGCACAACATGCCTCCTAGCCCGTAAACAAAGAGCCGTTTGGAAGCCCGTTAACTCGCCAGTACCTCGAGCTCACTCCTGCCAGGCACACCGCGGTCTGCTCAACTCGAGCGGGTTAGGAAAAAGTCACGCTCCGGTTTGCGGTGACGGGACCAGCACCCCCTTTACTGCTTCGGGAAAACGGCGGGCTAAAGTCGTTCTCTGCGCTCCTGTACGGTTAAGGACGACGATGCCCTCGCTGGTGGCCATCCGGCTGCTCGTGCTGGTGCTCGGGCTGTGCTCGCTGCGCGTGGCCGGCCAAGGGCGCTCCACCCCGGCTACATGCTCGCCTCTGTGCCGCTGTGACGAGGACGGAGGGGCGGACTGCTCGGGTAAAGGACTCAGCACTGTCCCCACTGGACTCAGCGCCTTTACTTATTATCTGTAAGTCTTCCAAAACCTGCCTTTTTTCTTACTAGCACTACTTGTGGTCTAAACATTGTAGGTTCTGTGCTGGTTTGATGTGTTGTGGTGGTGGTGGTGGTACCCCAAAATGCTGTTGATTCTGAGGATGATGGATAGGCAAGGCTAAGGTAGCCTAAACTTTTCCACACTAACATAAAGACTGAGTAAAACAGCCGACACTGTGTTTCTTTCCCTAAAAAACCTTTTACTGTTCATTCTCTACAACACTGTGACAAGTTTGGTCACCCTCAGATGCACTTCAATTGTGGGAGTAGGCTGTGTGTAGACCATGCAAAGTAGCTTTTATCAGAACCAGAAAGTCATATTTATTTCTAAATCTGATCTGTTTCTTTTGAGTTGTTGCTATACTTTCATAAGCAAGCACCTCAACTTGAATGCCTTCTCCTGGCCAGCCAGCTGTAAGTGCAGCCAGTGCAGTTGCAGTGTTCACCGTGTCAAGTTTTGTGACACGACTATTGTTTTCTTTGGACAGAACTAGAGCGAGTGAATTTTTTGGCCAATAACCAGCCTAAGAGTCCTCTCCCTAAGTAGAACATGGGGGGAAAGGGGCGGGGGGTGTAGTATGCAACACTATTCCTACTTTATTAAACACCTCTCAGGCTGGTGGCTGAACTTCAGCTGTCCAAGAAAGTTTTTTTTTTTTTTATTTTGTGTGCATAGACCTGTTATTTGCATGCTCTTTTTTTTCTTTTCAACACATTCCATTTCATAAATCTGCTCATTTGGACAAGACTTGAAAGTTTCTGTGTTATACTAGACTAATGTACATGATTTAAAACATATGCGTGGCATTCAGCATTTGTGCGTTGTTGGTGCTTGTGTATATTTTAGTGTAAATTGAGCTTTGACATCAGCAGTTGGAGGCTTTCAAACCTGTTTCATCTAAGAAATTAATTTGTTTAGTCTTAAAAAGAGCCTGTATTAAACTTTAAATGGCCTCGCTATGGTTGAAGTTCATAACTTTCCTGTTAAAGGGACCATCTTACATTTTTTTTTGTATTCAAGATTTCTTGTATTGTCCAGTCATAATTCATTTTTACATGGCCATTTCCCAAACACGCCTGTATCTCAGGGTGTTTTTGTTAAAATGCCTTTAAGATTGACACATGTAAATGATTTCAGTTCTCATTGGCTGCCCTGTATTGCACCTCATTCCACTTCAGCGCGAGTGATCGGCTAAACTGCTGTAGGCTGAATAGGCGGATTTATGTAAATGTTTTGGTTTTTATGACATCAGAGAAACAATGGATTTTTGAAGGATATTGAAACATTTTACAATTCATTTTACAAAACAACATTTACATACTAGGAAAATTTAGTTTTCCATGATATGGGCCCTTGAAAAGTCCCTGTAGGGAGAAAGGATGAGTTAGACAAGTTAGATAAGAACATCTAAGTGAATATATATGGCTTGTCAGAAGTCAGACAGCACCAATCATCACTCAAGCTAGCAGAACTTCTGTCTGTAGCCAGTCAGGTGGTTTGCTGTGTTACTAGCTGAGCTGTCCTGACAACTCTGGGGACGGAGCTTAAGGGTGGGAGCCAAAGGCAAAGTGGCCCTCTTAAATTACAGAGGCTCCTCCTCTTTAGACTCCACTGCTTTTTTTTAATTGTCTTCTCCTTCTACTGGGATCAGGTGCCTAGAAGTGAGTGGTCATCATGTCTTGGAAGCGAGCGAAGTCTCCACAGTGCAGTGGGTCTTTCTGTGCTCGTGCATTTTGAAAACAGCTTGACGACGATCTAGAAATATCTTTGCCAAGCAGCAGCGTGTAACCCAACTCCAGGCTAAGTCCAGTCTGCGGAAGTGATAAGGCCAGAAATAAAGCCGGAGTGTTAACACTCGCCGTTGCAGTGGCCATCTTAGATATCGCTGCGTGATATGCAAAAGCCATAACGTCGCAGGCCCTGTGCAGTGCTGAGCTGATACTCGTAGACATTTACCTGGCAAACTACTTAACCAGCTTAATGAGTTTTTCATAGAACAGGTTTCGCCAGTACTTACTTATCAGTGCTTATTTAAAACCTATAGTAGTACTAGTATAGTAGATTAGTGTGACTATTGGCAGTTAATTCGTCTGTATTATACTGTAAAGTCAGGTTTAGGTTAACTAGTCACTTACAGAGGTGGGTAGAGTAGCTTAAACCTATACTCAAATGAAAGTATTGTTACATAAATGAAATGGTGAAGTAAGTGAAGTAAAAGCATCTTTCCAAAGAAGTACAACTTGAGTACAAGAGTAGCAGGTCAACTACTTAATTACTGAGTAACTTAAAGAATTGTGGCAGAACTTCATGGTTAATCCAGCATCTATTGGAACGGAAGATTGTTAGGCAATGTTCTTCTGTTTTTGATGCACTTTTAAAAAAATGGTAAAACTCCAAAGTCAGCGGTGCAACCAATCGCAAAGCAGTACAGATGCTGTCACCAACATAACATGATGAAAGCTAACACAAAAAAGGAATTAGGAGTGAAATCTGAAGGACTAAAATGTAGCTGTGAGTAGAAGTGAAACTATTATCATTTGAAAATACGCAGGACTGTACAAATTCATCAGAATTGTACTTGAGTGCATGTAACTTAGTAAACGTATGTAGTTTCTGACCACCTCTCATCAATAATGACTAGAGATGCACCGATTTGAAAGTTGTACGCTGATGCCAGTCTCCGATATTTTTCATGTGCGTATCTGTCAGTGCCGATAGACCACTGTAGTGCTCGTATTAGGAACTCCGGGTCTAAGCTTGAATTCTCTATGGCCAGAATGAACTGGGTTTTCGAAAAATCACCTCTGTCACACCCTGTGTTAAATAAAAATGTTCAGGTCCTGATACATTTTGTACTGTGTACATTTTTCTCCCGAATATCAATGGATTCTCTGGATTGTGAGGTCGTTAAACAGTTGAAATATGAATATTGCTGCATGTAAGCTAATGCTACTACGCAATGAACTGACGTCATTAGCCTCCTTAAGCACGCTTTGGCAGTATGGTAGTGTATCTCCATGTACAGACTGAGTGCAGATGAAAGGACAAAACAATAACAAATACGATAAAATGAATAAAATGTAGATATTTTAGCACAATAGTACAGCATTATCTAAATGTTCTGCTCTTTCTGAGTTCAGTGAATACATGATCGAATATCGGTTTAAAATATCGGCCAAATTGAAACATCTGTCTGATGGCTAGAGGTGGGTGATATGACGAATTTGTGACGATATCGTTATTGTGATGAATTTTGTCATCATAATAAATTATGTGGTTTTTTGAGCACATTGTTGATGTTTATAATTAGAGAACACATTTAATTAATAAGAGAGCATAATTAGTCCTGTTTAATTGGATATAGAGCAGTACAGTATGTGAACAGTTGATTAAAAATCATTGTACCAAGAGTTTTTGATGGCTTTTGATGGATAGTGCATTCTGTCTGTCTGGCAAAATATTGTGACACATATGTGTATCATGTTAAGTATCGTGATACTATATTTTTGCCATAACGCCCACCCCTAAAGACGATATATATTTTTTAAGCAAATAGCTGCCAGTATGATTTTGAAATTATTGTGCATCCCTTCTAACACCCAAGAGATACTTATAATGCACTTCATATTTCTCCACTCCAGGCTAAATCATAGGCATGCGCTGAAATGACTAGCATGAAAATTGGTGATGAATGAGCCAGCCACATGATTGGTCAGCCTGCAGTCATACCGACATCACTAATGTTCAGATCTTATGTGAAAGAACATATGCTCCACTGAATTGTTGCAATAACTCCACAAAGAATATGTGTTATTTTTTCAGTTTATATTATTCTGAAGTCTTTCTAGAAGCCTCATATTATTTGTGACATCATGCTGAAAAGGCTTGCATGAAAACTAATAAGACCGTTCATGTCAACACTTTGAATACTCCAGCATTTTTCAGCCTAATTCCCTATGGTAGATTACCATGGACAACATTTCCAATGAGTTGTACTTAGCAACAGATTATAAAACTTGAATTATATTTGAAGCCGGTCAGCAGGTGCAGAAGCTGCTACTTATTGGATTCCATTATTAGTTTGGAATAGAGCTGGGCGATATGGCCAAAAATGTTATCACGATAAACAAAATTTATATTGTTCGATATCGATACATATCACGATAATGTCAAATCATTATTTCTTTCAAGTTTGAAGGCTGATTTTTGCTCCTGGGTGGTTAATTGCTGTTTTAAACTATCCTTTATGGTCGGAACACGACAAACACTCACCAAACAGTGGAACATTTCACAAATCTGTCATGGGAGAGTGGGAGAAAGTTTCTGGTGAGCTGTTTTTACCAGCTGGAAAAACATGGCTATTTTGTAATAGTCATAATTTAAGAAAGAAAACAGATTATTTTTAGCTGGTGACGAGCGCTCGGCTACCCCGCTGCAAATGACATCACAGTATTCAGACACCAGCTAGCGACGACTGGATATTCAATTGTAGTAGTTTAAAGGGGTGAACCGCAAAATATCAACACCAGACAAACAGAGTCCTCATTTTAGGTACGTTTAAACTGAAAGCGGTGCTTTTGTGTCGTGTTTGATCTACAGTATCATTAATTCGCCGTGTCGTGCAGTGACGAAGCGCTGCTTTAAGTTAGCCAGCTGCTAAAAACAGCTAGCCTGGAAAGCTAGCGCTCTCCCGCTCTCCAATGCCTCACAGCTTCCTCAGTTTACTTTTGTTTACATCAGGGCCGTAACTGCATGAACCCACTTCTTTCTTTCACTTTCGTTGCTTGGGAATGCACTCATACTTAAATATGACTATCCGAGCGCTGTAACAGCGCTGTAGTTGTGAGGATTGTGATTTAACGCTGCTAAAGCTGGTTAGGATGTACAGAAAGAGGTGAGTTCGCTGTAGGACAGTACAGTTACACCACTGACCTCGTCACTCACACTCGGTCACAGGAGAACAGATCGCCGGT